TGCTGGCTGGGGAGTTCTGGGAGTTGAAGTCCACACGTCTTAAAGTTGCCAAGGTTGAGAAACCCTGAATTAGAGGATAATACAAAACATGCTGGCAGTGGTGATTTGCACCCAGAAACCGTTGTGCGAGCCTTAAAATAAAAGAAAAAAAAGCGATTCTGGTCAATGGGCTTCTTACAACATGCTTAACTGGGTTAATGGAACACCAGTGGTATCTTCATCTAACCTGCTATGGCTTGAGGCAGGAGTTCTCAAACTTCATGCTGCAGGGATACCCTAATAATACTACTGCCTGGGGTTAGGGTGAGGCAAGAAGGAAATAGGCCCCCTGGTTTTAATAATTACATTTCATGGGTGGATGAAATTAAACCAGCATGGAGCCTTGCAACTTTATGAAACACCACCTTCTGATTGTTAGGAAACAATGACATTTAAAACCGTATTTTTGTATGGACAGAATGAGACGAGCTTTCCACCGTTCCTGATATCTAGGTTTTATTTCTGAGGCAGCCACTCTGTTTCTTGTTCCACGTTCGTTTCGGATCAGCATTAGTAGAGAAGCAACTGCAGAACATCTGGACTTGGCGTTTGGTTTGACCAGGAGGGGGGGGCAGTTATGGGAGCAATCCTGCTTTGCATGTGTTGGCCATCGGTATGCACCCCAAGAGCTGAACCCCTCCTGTCCTGTACTCTACTTAAGCTTCCTCTTAATTGTGCTTGGACAAAGAATTCTGGCAGGGACCTAGATTTATGTGCACAAGCCCCCCACCCCCAATTTTGCAGCCCTCCTCAGATTTGCTCGCAGCCTGCAAGGGAGTTTGACAACTCACAACATAACACGACGACCCGTTCATACCAAAGCCAAGACAAGGGTACAGCTCCCCCCACCAATACGCCCGTATAAATCACCCAAGGCTATTTTAACCCAGTCAGGCGTGTGGTACCAACCCCACTGTTTGCAAGGACGCTTCGCCATTATACGTTTACGCTGCAGATCAGTGGTGTCAGAGTTGCAGAAAAAGCCTTGTTTGGACCCTGGGAACCCTAATTTGGGGCTGTCCTGTTCTCACCGATGCAGGGAACGGATGCCACGATGCTCCACAAGCTGAATTCTCAGCACAAACTGAACATCAATTATATTCCTCCGAAAAACAATCACGACACCCATTTTGGCATCAACCACTTTGCTGGAGTGGTATACTATGAAACAAAAGGTATGTTTTCGCTTTTTGGGCAGAGCTTCCATTGGAGCAGGACTGAGATACAGGACTTGTTTTAGGTCCTTGACTTAGAAACGGCCTTTCTGTCTAATATAGAAACCAGATCTCTTTCAAGTGGTTCTCTTCTCTGTCATCAGGGTTTCTGGAGAAAAACAGAGACACGCTCCATGGGGATATTATCCAGCTGGTTCATTCCTCAAGAAACAAATTCATCAAGCAGATTTTCCAGGCTGACGTAGCCATGGTAAGGTATCTCTGATACACTCGGCGGTGGGTGGAACAGGTGGTTAAGCGGAGAACCAACCATATCTTCAGACAGATCCGTCGTAATTCACGGGACTTAGTCACTGCTAATTTAAGCCTTAGTTATCTCGTTGGATCTACTCTAACTGTGATGAAGTTTGGCTCCAACTCTAAAAGTAAATGCATTATGCATAGGAGGCAAAAGTCCCCTTAAAATATCCATGCATGATTTTGATAGTCATAACATTTGGAGGTTAAGATAAGCAGGGATTAATACCAGACAAACAAGCAGAAAACAATACTCTAAACAAGGAACTACCAAGGAGAAAACCCCTCTCCCACCAACACTGGCAGAGCAAGCTACTGTATATAAACAGGGATCAAACCCCACACTCACTAGCACTGATGATGTTACCTAGTTGGGTTGTGAAATGTCTGCAAGCAAACCACCCAGCTCAGAGAGCACCAAGGACTCCACAGTTCATCCCTGAGCTACAGATATTCTCTCCTATTGGAATTGGGTGCTTGCTTGCTTGCTTTTAACCAAATGGTTCTCCTTGGATTTAATGAGGGAAAAGTGGATCCTTTAGAAAGCACACTTCCTTCCTCTAGACATCAAAAGCGCAAGGGCTATCTAGTCGTTTGAAACTTAAAATGTGACCGGCTTCAGATGACAAATGTACCTTTAGTTTTATGAATTTAGTTTCCACTGAATGTATGAACCATATGTTCTGCATCTTTGGAATAGTTCCTTTGTATAGAGTTTCCCCTGATTAACTGATGCTATTGAGAAAGATAGTTGAGTATTTCTTCTCTTTATCCTTTCATAAGCAAATGATTTCCAAAGTTAGCACCACTTTGCATTCTAAGGTGTTGATAACATCAACTGGCATCTTTTCTAATGCAATTTTGTGATGGCCAGGAGTATGGTTTTTCCTAATTTTCTTCCAAATTAGGCAGCGTACTGGCATTGAATCAATGGATGTGGCTTGGATTTTCATATTTAAGGGGGCTTTAAAAAAGAAAAAAACTCTTTTAGTTAAGTTAAACTTATCTCCAAACATACACACTTTTTCTTTCCCTATGCTTTTCTTCAAAAAATGGCAGAAAACTGCCCTTCTTCCCCAGAAAACACTTGGAGCGTTTACACTGAATTTGAAAGGTAGAGGTAGTCCTTGCTATCCGGAATTTAGATTGCTAAGTGATTTGGTTGTTAACCGAATTGGAGCTGATTTTACATTTTTTACGATAGTCGTTAAGCAAGTCACATGGTCGTTGAGTGAATCACATGGTAGCTAAGCGAATCTAGTTTCCCCAATGGGTGTTTTTTGCCAGAATTCTCTTAACAACCGCAGTGATTTGCTTAACGACCATCGTAAAAAATGTTGCAAATCGCAATCATGGGACAGCAGGGGTTGTAAAGCATTTTTCCCAAGGCTGTCGTAACTCTGGACCATCGTTAAATGAACAGTCATTAAGCAAGGACTACCTGTGTAATCATCGGAGGCTGCAGAGCCACACAAAAGAGAGTCAGGAAACAAAAGCAGCATGTGTGTAGCCTATTCGTCTCTGACTCAGAAAGAGTGTGTTGCCTGCACGCTGCCTTCCAGAGTGGCAGTGGCTTATGGGTAAAGCAGAATCCTGCACTGGTCAGGGGTTGGACTAGATGACCACTACGGTCATTTCCAACATTGATTCCAGGACGGCCATGTCAGAAATACATTGCACTTTTAGAATCAGAGGCCTGTAGCATATCAAGCGGTTCCTCATTTGCATCTAATTGTGTGCAGAGCAATTTAGCTCTGGCCATGGGAAGGAGGCGAGAGAGGAAAAGTGTGAGAGAGACTCAGCATAGCCCCACCTTGATCTTGTTGTCCTTAAAAAGGGGGCAGTCAAGGTTTGGGGCCAACTTTTAAGGTTCTGTTAATCTACCCTACAACAATAAAGTAGCATTCCTGGAATTCCTGTTTCTTGACCTGGCCTACCTCGAAGGGCTGACACAGGCATGAAAATGCCCCAGCAGCCTCTCTTCCATGTTGGTGTCTTCACAACATTGCTTTCATCCAGGGTCTAGCCCACCCCAAAGTGTCTTTAGCTATGTCAGTATAAAGTAGGGATTTCCCCCCTGGCTGGGGAATTCTGGGAGTTTCAGTCTACCCATCTTCAAGCTGCCAAGGTTGAGAAGCACTGGTCTAGGAAGTCACCAGGAGTTGGGCTGCTACTCACGGGGCGTTTCACTTTATTTTTTATTTATTCCCATAAGGCTTCCTTTCATCTTACCAGTGGACCTTATTCTCCGTGTTTCTTGACTTGCAGCCTCTTATAAAGCTGTTTCCTGGCAAAAACATTAGCCCGTTTGTTAGTTAGTAGAGACCAGCCTATACAATTCCAAGATGAGGCTGCAATGCAGTGACTGAGATCTCTGTTCCACAGTTCCAAACTGAATCTAGCTGCTGTAGAAAACATCTTCATAGCTGATCTTGGCTTGATATCCGACAATAAACTGGGTTGGTGCTTGGATGAGAGACCATTAGGAAAACCCAGGAATGTTGGTTTAGATTGGGAAGTCAAAAATCATTCTGGAAAAAGGCAATGAGAAATCTTTTCCTGCACTGGCAATTGGATTTAATGGATTTGACAGCTGGGGAATTCTGGGAGTTGAAGTCCACCCATCTTAAATTTGCCCAGGTTGAGAAACATTGTCCTAAATGACCCTTTGAATTCCATGATTTTAACATCCATGAGTTTGACTGCATAGATGCAGTCAGAAGGATGGGAGCTCAGCTGATGGTCTTTATTGCAAACTGCCTGAACTGGACAATGCTTTTTTTCCCCCCTTTCTTGTAAGATTGCAAACTAAGGTTATCCATATTTGTTGAATGATGGAGTTTCAACACAGATAAAAGGAAGTGCCTCTTCCACCAAAGTGCCTGGCTTTTAGAACCCAAGAGTTGCATTAACGGAAGATTAAGACTATGTTGATTCCATCTACATCAGTGTTTTTCAACCTTGGCAAGTTTAAGATGGGTGGACTTCAACTCCCAGAATTCCTCAGCCAACCTTGCTGGCTGGGGAATTCTGGGAGTTGTAGTCCACCCATCTTAAAGTTGCCAAGGTTGAGAAACACTGGTCTATATCCTCCAGAATCAGACGCAGCACGTGGAGAACACAGCTGGAATCATGCTGGTGCCTGCACACTTCCGAAAGGCATTCACGCTGGTCCCTGCAGGGCTGGTGGAAGAATGCCTTTTGGTCTGTTCCACCCAGCCTTTGGTGCTTTTAAAACAGTGCTGTCAGAAGGCAGTGCTCCTGGTTGGGCACATCATGTTGAAAAGCATGGCTGACTCTGAAACATAGGGCTTACCACCTCCATAGGTAGTAAAGACATTCATTCATTCACTTGTTCACTCACTCACTCATTCATTCATTCATTCATTTATTCATTGAATTTATATTGCTGCCCATCTCAATATATGACTCTAGATGGCTGGCACACAGTTAAAAACAATATAAAAACAGTGAAAATACAACCATTTAGAACAATAAAAACACTATGAACCATAAAAGCATATTACATCATTCAAAATCCAGAGCCAAGATGAACACGTTCATCTGTAACCATCAATACAGCCCCTACACCGGCCCCACCAGACTCCCAGGTCCCCGTGCCCGTTGGCAAAACCACCTTTTCAGGGCGTTGTGAAAAGCCAGCAGGGCCAGGCCCCCTCTGATCTCCGGTGGGATGATGTTCCACAGGGTGGGAGCTGTGACAGAAAGGCTCTCCTCAATCAGATGACACTCCTTGGCTGACACGACTCAGAGCATGCCCCTCCTGCTGGACCTGATGGGACAAGAAGATGTAATTAGAGAGCAACAGTAGGGGATGGATAATTAGAGTTGGTTAGAATATGGAAGATAGGTGTCCACAGGTTATTTTATTTATTTATTATTTGATTTCTATAGTCGCCCATCTCAACAAGTGACTCTGGGCAGCGTACTATCATAAAACAATAAACAATTAAAGCAATACAAATAAATATATATGGTTGCCAAGTAAAACTGTTGCCATAGATATGCCAGGCCCGGGCATATAACCAGGTCTTCACAGCCTTATGAAAGGCCAACAGGGTTGGGCTCATCCTAATCTCTGGAGGGAGAATGTTCCAGAGGGCAGGGGCCAAGGCAGAGAAGGCACGTCTCCTTGTCCCCATCAGCTGACATTCCTTGGTTGATGGGACCCGTAACGTGTCCGAACTGTATGGGTAGAAACAACTGGGAGGAGACGGTCCCTCAGGTAACCCAGTCCCAAGCCATGAAGGGCTTTCAAGGTGACAACCAGCACCTTGAATTGCACCTGGAAGCACACTGGCAATGATCATAAAGGTTATAGTCATAAGAGTCAAGATGGTAGCCCCAACAGTGCAATCAAAGCTCTCCCTGTTGCCCTTCAAAAAAGAGCAGAGCTTCAAACCGCACCATTGCGCATAGCTTCAAGTGCACCTTGGCGGCCCCCATCTTCACCTTTTGGGCCACTTTTGTCAGACTCTCCTGGGAGGGAAGCTCCAGAAACTAAAAAGATCAGGAGCAGCAGGAAGCCTGGGGAGCACCAAAGGAGACCTCCATGGGTAGGTTGTTCACAAACCTCTGCATCTATTTCTATTTAAGTGTCCCCTTCTTTAATCAAAGGGCAGTTCTTCCTGTTCACTTTTTTTCTCCTCTCTTCTCTCTCTGCATTTTGCTTTGTTGTTTTATTTTCCTTTTCTTCTCCTGTAGTTTCTCTGTGGCTGTCCGTCCACTACCTTTGCCCAGTCGCCAACGTCCAGTTTGAAGGTAAAATAAGTTCTGCCAGTCCTTCCTGGGGTGTGTTTGGGTTTGCCCACTTTTTCTGGATTACTGCTTTTCCTTGGGTCACATGCAACAGATGCTTTTCAAGCAAAGACAAAATAAATTACAAGGAAGTGAAGGGCTCATTTGCAAGAAGCAAGGAAATTTTCCCTGCTGGAAATAATTTGTGGGGACCAAACATTCAAGAGCTGAAGTTTTTGATCAGTTACCTGGTGTCCTCTACATGGGTTGGACTTCAGCTCCACAGGGCCTGGCTAACGTGGCCCTGGATGCTGGCTTTGATGAAGGCTGGCTGTGTTCACACGTTGCACTGACCCCCAGCCGAGCCCACCCCTTTCTTTCTGTGCAGTTAATGCATAGCTCAGGAGGTCAGCCAAACTTACAAAATAGAGTTTGTTCCCTAAACCATGATGAAGCAGACAAGAAAGCTATCACTGAACACACCCACCAAACTACAAATTGTTGTCAGCACATGTGATTGGTTTAGTTCTCAGTGTGCCAGACATAGACAGTTAGTCTAAATCAGTGTTTTTCAAACCTGGCAATTTTAAGATGTGTGAACTGCCCCTCCAAGAATTCCCCAGCCAGCATCCAAGTTTGAAAAACACTGGCCTAACTGAACAAATCATGCTCAAGTCCACAGATAAGTCCATTACATGAACGCACCCAAGTCTGAAGCACTACTGACCCTCTTATTTTTCCTTAACCTGGTTACCTGTCCTCTCTATCATGGTAATAGTTATTTAAAGGAAAAGTGTTTGGAGCTGCTGACTCTGAACCATCACATGCTTAGGTCCAACAAATGTTAACTAACTAAGGTTTGTTATGGCCAAAAGAATAAATTGCAAAGTACAGAATTAATCAAAACAAAGCATAGGATAAAAGAGTTTGGCAGGTAAAAAGAAGTTAGTAGGCATTAACCTAAAATGTTTAAAAACCCAAATGTATTAATGTATTAGTAAAAGACCTTGTATTTATAGGCATAGTTCATAATATACAGTTGGCAATGTGATTTCAGGATGTTTTATCTGAGAGTAAACTATAGCAAGCAAATGTTCCATTCACACAACACATTGAACCCTGTCAAGAGAGGTGTCTGCGGGAGGCAAGTTGTGTGTGTGTGTGGGGGGGGGGTAAATGATTCAAGAAGTGTTCTGGTGCAAGCTTCGCCTCCCTTGTACATGTGTCGTAACAAAAACAAGCCTGTTTTCTTCTGATGAGGAGGGTTCTGCTTTTCACTCTTATTCTCAGGGTACTTGAGAATTTCTGTTGCATTTCTCTTGGCATCGTTTTTGGGAGCTTGCTTTTATGGCTGGGATTGGCACAGGGCACACTAATTATTGTTATTATTTAGATTTTTTTTTATCCCGCCTTTATTATTTTTATAAATAACTCAAGGTGGCGAACCTACCTCATAATGCAAGGTTTTTTTTGTCTAAAGGCATTCCCAGCTAAGAAAGGGTTCTAGGGAGAGTTTGCTTCTGGGGTTTCTCCTGAGGATTGCATAGAGGCTAGCCGCTGACATTTGGAGAGAGGACTATACCATTTGGTGAGGACACATCTGCACTTCTGTAATGGGATTCGCTGAGCCTGGGAATGAGAAGGGATGTTTGCAAAGCGATGCAAACCAGAACAAATGGACCTCCTCTTCGTATTTCATAAATGGGTAGCCATTTCCCCCATAAATCCAGAGCGAGTTAGAAAGAAGATCAGAGTCATCAAGGAAGATCTGCTTTAATATCCTCACTGATAAAAGTGGGGCTAAAGTATAGTTGTATCTAGTTTCCAAGATTCTGTAACTGAACTCTTTTTCCTTGCCGTATACCTGGCTGTCGAGATTGAAAATCGAGCTTTCCTGATTCCTGCGAGGTGACTTGATAGCTTCCCTCGGTTACTGCATCTCTAAGTAAAATGCAAGATGATCAATTCCCCCATCAGCATTTCACCCCAATTCCTTCTCCTTTGAAAGAAGTTTCAAAAGTGAATTCTCTGTGGGTCCCTTCGATAGGAACTAGGAGTGAAAAAGATGCAGGAGAATTTTTGGCCGCACGGCAGTGAGAAGCCAGAAGCTCTGCCTCTGGAAATGTATTTGATCTCTTTCTTTTACAATATTTGGCATTACCCCATCCATTAAGGCTCTGGGTGGTGAACCATAAAGCACCCCAGATTTACTCTTTCCCTAAGCGTTGTTTCCTCACCGTGGTGACCCCGACCTGATGAAACCGAGCCAGCTGTACTTTGAGTGCAACTCAACTTTGCACGCAGGTGCGTAAGGAGCAAAGTTTGGATGATGACATCCCAACACATCTTTTTGTCCCCCACTTCCCTTTCTCCCCCCTTTGTTTAAATAATTTACCAATCTCCCCATTCGGCTCCTGCCAGGAGCATCTCAGCGGCTCAGAAGTCACAACCAAGCCTAGCACACCTAAGGAGTACCCTTCTGATGAATGAAGCCGCCCTGCAGCCGCTCCCAGAGTAGAACCTCCATAAAATCACAGCAAGGAGCATCAAAGACATGGGGGGGGGGGCTTTTCACGCCCCAAAGGCCCCCTAAAATAGCCACGGGGGGGAGAGCGTCCTCGGCCTCTTTTTTTTTGGACGACGGGAGGCTCGGCCGCCCTGGGCCGAAGAGGTTTCCTGTGTTGGGAGCGCTCCCG